TTCCGTTAAAATATGACACTCGGCATTTCACAGATTGTTTTTATTATATTTCATTTTACAACCGTCGTTGAACAGCCGACCCAATTTTATGGGTTTACGACTACTAATGTTCAACTCCGTAGCCCTGTAATTTTGAACCCAATCCAGAAGACAAGAGAACTCCTGGAATATTGGGAGACATTTGCCTTCGTGGAGGACTTTTTGATGGAGCTAATCCGCATTTGCGTTACATGGAGAGGAAGACTACGAGAACCTCATGTGGTTAGCCTGGTGGCAATGGGACTCTAACCCAATATCCGTCTATCACTGAGGATATTTCAAGTCAGCACTGTGGTCGGTGCAAGCCGGATGCGGAATTCGTATTGACTGGGATTCGAACCGGTTCGCCTCATTGGAAGGCGAAAGCTCTATCCCCTGAGCTATCACTGCTTTTTCACAGATTGTTATCTGAAAGTCATATCTTTTACAACGTCTAGTAATAAGATTTATATCTTTTATTCAATTTCAGGATAAAAAAAAAACTTTAACATGCCCTATTTTACTTTAAAGTAAATACTCATAAATTTAAACATTGAATTCATTGAGAATATTTAATTTTACAGAATGATTAAGAATACAGTTCATTAAAAGTTCGTGTCAAAATTTCCACCAAATTGTCTCCATTAAGAAAATTTTGGAAATTTCTCAACATCATCTCATCGACTGAATTCTTTAAAACCAGCGACTCGATTATCTCTATCCATGAAAGAGAGTTAGCCATGAAGAGTAGAGAAGTAGAAAGGAACTAGTGTTCGAACAACTAATTACATTTGTCTCATTCATGAATTCGATATGCCCCGAGTTAATTACATGTACTAGTTTCGGTGAAATATATTCGTTTATCAATGACAGATGCAATTGATGAGGTTATTAATCAAATGAAAGTCTTGAACGGAATTTTAGAAGCAAAAAAAAGCAATTTGTTTAATGTTTGTTTACGAGTCAGATTTGTTATGATTATTCGAAAGTTTTGTAGATCTGTTTTGCGAATTTGTGAAAAATCTGACAATTTTGAGAAAAAAAGGCACCCGTTCTTGTAATTTTTTTAAATAAAAATAATTATATGTTCTGACCTTTGCGCTAAAATTTTTTGTTTTGGTGATTTTTTTTACCTGTTTTCTGCATGAATCTAATATTGCCGTTGAATAAGGTTCTCTGGGCAGGATACTATTTTTAAGAATATGTGAAAATAAGGTTCAAGTGTGTGAAAAAATCTATTAAAGCTATGATTTTCAAAGAGATTAAGTTTTAAAACTACGATTCAAGTGTATCATTAAGCGCATTTTAAAAAACAGAATGTAAAGCATAATCTGAAGGGTCCAAATTTAAGTTAAAATATTTGGCGAATGATTCGTTTTTACATTAATATAATTAATTAATGATTCTTTTTTGCACTCTTATTTTCAATACATTATTTTTAAGGCTCCATTTTTAAGACAGGGAATGTTATGAAATGTCTGTTAATGAACCCAAATTTATCCCAAAATAATTCCTGGCCATTGAATAAGAAACCTTGAATCGAGGTTTCCAGACAAACACTTCGAAATAAACTGAATTGTAAAATATAGAAGACTAATTCTAAAACCAGCTCAATCGATATTTTTAGTGCCAATATTAAAAATTCATTAAGGCAGATAGCATGGTTGAACTTCAAAACGGCGATTTCGTGCGAAACTTCAAGCTATCGATTTGCACTGAAAGTACCCATGCTATGGATTTAGTACAATGTTGTGGCAGTCGAGGCCAACGTTGGAACTCGAAGTCATAAGTTTGTGTACAATTTCACGTAATCGTATTGCACTTTAAATATCAATGGCATGAATTTAGTGGAATACTGTGGTAGGGGTTGGGGCGAACGTTTTTTCTATAAGTAGTGATTTCGTGCACGATTTGTACAACCTGTCTGTACTTAAAATATTAATGCCATACAGTTAGTTGAAAGATGCGGCAGTAGAAGCAAACATTGAATCTCAAAGTCATGAGTTTTTGCGCGATTTCAACTGATTGTTTTTGTTATAGCTAAATTTAAATAAAAAATCGTCTTAAAAACCTGAAATAAAAACAAAGTAAAGTTTTAAATATCTTGATATTTCGTTAATTAATCTTCAAAGAGAAATTTTGTCTCACAAGCAGTATGCTATGGCAGTCATGGAAAAAAAATTTAAATAACGAGATCTCCTTCTCAAAATGATGTTCGGAATTCTAAAATGGATAATTAAGTGGGTTTGAAAATTATATTAATTGCTAGTTGAAAAAAAACATAGATTTGAATAAAAACATTAATAAATTAATGCTTTAAATTTCGTAAAAAGAAACATTATTTGAATAATAAATTTCGTATTTCTTTTAGAAATGAGATGGGATTTTTTTTCCTTTATTACTAAGGGAACACCTCTGCTCACAACAGCGTCACCAGCAGTCATATGTATTTCAGCTCTCAGACGGAGGCTTACAATTTTTTAAATTTAAATTAAAATTCTTTTGTAAAAGAATTTTCGGTTTTAAGCATGTTCCATAGTATTTATGGCTCAATAATATACCAAAGGTCAAGCTTCACAAGAAAAGCTATCGTAAAGTATACTGTTTGTCACACAAAGAAAATCGAGAGAAAGTTTGGCAGGGAATTTCGAGTATCAGACCTTGCATTCGCCAAATATCGCATTTTTGTCACGAGGCACATCTAAATAGGTCAATCACTTGGGCAATTTTGTTCTGGGGGAAGTAGAAGACTTGAATTCGTCACCTGCATATACAAACTCTTAAATGTCAAAGAAAAGCATAAATATTTTTTTCGAGAGGAAAATTACAATAGGGTACCATACATATTAGTTGATGTTCTTCTTTTTTTAAATTATCAATCGAATAAATATCAAGTTATACAAATTAAAACTGTAATAAACTTTTAACGTTGCAATAAAAGCCTAAAATTCAATTTTAAAGTTTTGCACTGTGAAATATAGGATATCAATAGTTTTTTGAAGTGTCAAATTTTAAAGTAGTGCTATCTACTTTCTATATGAGTTTAAACTTTTTTTCTCAAATAGCAGTAGAATTTTTATATTATAAGATAATTTTAGAACTTTACAAAATTGCTTATCGAAATTTCTTATAAGTGCATCTTTAAAATTGTACCATGTATTTTTTATTTGAATCGTAATATTTTTCCATAAATTTAAATTAAATATCTAGTCTTAGAAAAGATCAAGGGCTAAAATTTTAACCTCAAAATTCAATAAAAGTTTAATTTTGTAGATTTTCACAGTGACACTAATACATCTGAGGTAAAAAATTTCTGCCAGCTCATTTCGGATTTGATCTTTCTCCATAAGCGTTAGCAGAATGTCAAATTTTCTTGAAATACATGTGGGTTCATCTGATAAGTATTTTAATCCATCAAATAATTGAGATTTCAGGAGTCAAAGAATTCAGAAGAAAAGGGAAGTAGAAAAATCATTAAAATGAAATATCTAAAAGAAAAAAATATATATATATATACATTAAAAAGCCGGAAAAAATGAAAAGATGTAATCTTTTCATCAGCTCACACGATTATATCCTCAAAAAGGGGTTCATCTGATATTGTATCAATATATCCAAAGTAAAATATATCAACACAATAGTGTAAGGATCGCTAAAAAAATAAAGCAAATTGATCACATTAAGTAAAAATAATATCGCTTAAAAAATAGAAAATAAAATATAAAGAAAAAATGGAACAAAACGCAAAACGAAATCTATAAAGCGAGTAATTCAAATGAGCTTACATGTTTGGGAAACTTTCAAAAATAATTTAAAATATTTCTGTAATAAGATTGCCAGGTATAAAAGCAGAAGTTCAAATGGTGCTAAAAACTTAAATACAGAGATTAAGTGTCAAGAATTAATCTAAATTGTCATTCTATTAATTGTCGACAGATCTATTTAGTAGATGTTTCAGCTTTCTAAGACTTGGTTTAGTTTTTGTATTTTTAACTACGTAAGATGAAGAATGGTTTGAAACATTTTGTTCTATAGTGTTTTTTTCTAGAAAAGCATTTAATATTTTAAATGATAGAATATTAAAATGTGAATTTCAGTCTGACCATTTAGCAATAATGTTAGATTGACATCGATATTGTTTGTAAGCTCTTTTTTGGTCAGGCAACTTTGACTTTTACACCTGACCGATGAGAAATGTACTTTCCTCGCAAATGTCCATCCGGATTACCTAATTTACAATCCAGCGGCTTATGAATGATTTGCTATATTTTTTAGAGATTTTTCTCTAGGCTGTAGTTGGTTTCTACTTTAATGCAAATTTTTTACTTTAAAAAAAAAAAAAAAATTTGTCTCCCGAACTTAAAAATGGAAGAACCATTTTTTTTTTATTTAAGAAAATGTCAAGCAGGAGAGCGGATATTTAAAGGCCACTTTATCCAAAAGTAGCTGCCCGGTATGTAAAGTGACGATTTGCAGATCAATTCACACTGCAAAGTTTATGACTATTCTATCACAAAAACTGCTTGAATGATAAAAAATACTTTATATTACTCTATTTTATAAACATTATTTTTACAAGAATGAGTACTTAATTTTTCTCTGCTTCATGAAAAGCGAAACTCTATTGAGCGGGAGCCCTTGGAGGGTCAAGACCTACTATGCTCATCTTAAATTTCTTGACCTAGAGTTCTAGGGGGCAGGAGCAGATGTTTCGGTGAGTGATCAACCGAAGGTAGAACTCTGATTGTTTTCTCTCCAAGCATGCTTGTTACTCGTTTTATCGATCCACTTAAGAGTAAAAAGGCTGAGTTAACTTTTTGCCCGGTTCGAAGAGAGAACCTCAGACCTGTGGTCATATACATAAAATCCTGTCAAGTTTACTCTTTTATTTTATCTGTTAAAAAGGAAAGGAAAAAACCCGATATTTTCCTTGTCAATCTTTTGGTTCTTAAATTATAAAACAATTTTAAAATATCCCCTACCTTTCTTCCAGATGATATCATTATATGGATAACCCCCGAATGGACAGAAGACTTTGAAGGTTCCTCCAGCTAAAGCAGTCAAATTGTTCAGAGGTCTGATGAACACTGACCCAAAAACATTCAATCGCCGTGAATGAACAGATCTACCAGCTTCGTTGAAGGACACACAACTGTAGAGACCGCTGTCCATTACATCTGCAGATGTGATATTAACATAACTGAACACATCTCCAGCTGGGCTCAAGTAAGTGCTGACTGCGATACCAGGTCTTGTGGATAATGTCCAGACATCGTCTAGTGTCCACTTTACTTGGGGAGTTGGGTTGCCACTGGTTATGCACAGAAGAGAAATAAAGCTACCAGGACGTACAGTCTTTTCCGGAAAAGTGAGCTTGAATTGTGGAGATAGGTCTGAAAAATAATAGATAGCAAAAATGCACTGAATTGAGATTAATATTTCTTGTAAACTTCGAAAAATTTTTGGTTTTACTGGAAATCTGATAAATGTTAAAGGTATTTTTTACTTTTTTTTTCGTATGCCTGTTTTAGGCAGTTGGGGTGCGATTGTTTCTGTTCTTCAGTGGCGCCATCAATGGCTAGAAATTCGACTTCTGCAACTCCATTCACACAGCCACAACCCGTTTATAGGACGGGTCACATTCACACACATTCATACACGAAGGAGAGAGGACATAGAACACACAGAGAGAGAGAAAGAAACATCCATGCCTTGTCCGGGATTCGAGCCCAGGACCTTTCTGATGCAAGGACAGTTCTATGCCCCCCACACAGGCTGGTTGGCAATATTAAAGGTATCGTGGGTATAAAATGATAATTAACCTTATTTTGTGATTTATGGAAAGGCATTTATTTCTATAGCTCAACATTAATGCTTCTTAGGTAAAAAAAATCATTATTTTATAACTGAATTTTGATGGATAAGCATTTTTTTTAATCAAAGGGAAAGCTCTTGTCGGGAATAATTACTTAAAGTAAAAAATTATAGTGGGAAAAACTTGTTCAAAACCTTCAAAACTTGATTTTGGATGTTTTTCCCTCTGCAATTTTGGAACGAAGTCACTAAAATTTTTTTGAATGATAAATTCGCCAAAATGTAAAAGTAAAAAAAAAAATATGTATACTTAGAGGCCAAATAGTTTTATGATGAAAGCTTGTACCCGGTTTTATTTAGCCTAGTCGGATAAAACCGGTTCTAAGGAGAACCGAGACTGTGATTGTACCAGGTGTAAGAAATAATAATAAAAAAGAATTGTTTTACTGCAATGACTACCTTATACTGAAAAACTCAAAGTGGTTTACAAAATAAAAAAGTAGCTCAACGAATATATTTTAATTTATCGAAATTCAAGCAGGTTCAGTCATTTCAAGATTTAACGCGCTTGGAATTCTGTAATTTTTCGGTTCTAATGTATTTAAACTAATTCTCTGCGGAACAGAGTTTAGCAAATAAATTTATTTTTAACTCCCGAGGTCTTTAATTGTTAAAGACGCAACAAAACTGTTTATTTATTGATTTTATAAATTTATACTGCGTAACTTGTAATTGCTTGTTTGAAGTAATTAACAAAAGCGTCACTCAAAAAGCAAAGAAGCTAATATTGGCTTCTAATGTTTGCAACCGATAATATTCGAGACTGTAACTTTTTTTTAATTTTGTTCTTTTTGACAACAAAGGAAAACTCTGATGGGGATTGCTGAATTTTTCATCAGAGTACGGTTAAAATTCAAAACTCTTAAAGAAACTTACATCATTATGTTAGTAACTAATTTTAATTTTACAAATTTGCATCACAAAACCTCGTAACTAGTATTATTATTTTTTAATTAGCAAATTTTTAGTACAAAAATTTAATTTTTTTTTTGTTGCTAAAATGGAATTCAAATTTTGAAACTTTTACTGATAATTTGCTTTGCGGAAAAGAATTTACATTCTGTCAGCATTATCCGATCTTGAAGCATTTATTTATTTATTTATTTTATTTGAAAAGTGACACTTTATGTTATATGAACTAATATTTCTTAATTCATGTTAAATACTTTTGTGGTGTAAAAACTGAAAATATAATAACTTTTTTCACTGAATGCTAAGAAATCAGACTATCTTAAAAAAGGATGATGAATGGTATGAAAAAGGGCTATCGGGATTGCGTTTATTACTGATAGTCCACGTATAATATGGAAAATTGGCAAGAAGCCAATAAAGGCGAATAGAAAAATCTCGATATAGTAGGGGTAAAGGGATAAGGAGTGGAATTTGGTGGTCTTTACACATAATCATTGGTTTATCAATTCGTGATTTCAAATATCCTTGCAGGAAAAATGACATTTTGTCATAAAATAATTCGTGAAAGCATTATAAAATGCTTTGAAATAATGGGAAACTTATTTGAATGATATGTTGATAAATAAGTTAGTTTTTCAAACTAATTTCTGCTAAAATAATAGCACTTTTTTGATTAATATAAACAATTTTCTGGAATATAGTTTGTATATTACTGCCATTTGTGTGAAGGATGTTAGCAAGCACTCCTTTAATGAAAAATTATTTCGCTGATTTTTTTTTTTTGTAAAAATCAAGATCCTATTTATGAGTGACAATATTTATGAGTTACGACATTACAAAAGTCCGATTTTGGCATGTTTAGTTAAAAATATAATTTTTAAGCTATTTTAAAAAAGAAATAGCTAAATTTAAATTCATGGCATTAGCTAGATTTATAAATTATTTTACGAGTGGTTCTAAATTTAAATATTTCCAGTGGTCTGTGTTATTCTCGCACCTTTTGAAAATTGGATACCTGTAAGCGACGTCAACGCGGGAATGTCCCCTGATTGGCAGTTGAAACATTTGTTTATTTTAGCAAATGTCCTTTCCATTCTATTTCGATTGAGCCTAGCCCATCAAATCTAAATTCCCTGAAGTGACACATTCTAAACTCTTTCAGGAAGAAAGATTTGGTTTATTTCTTCCTGTACACGAAGACATGACTAAAGCCATGTAGAACATAGCGACAAAGTAATGTAAACAAAGTAATTATGCAACAAAGTTTCCAGACGCATAAAACAAAATAAAATACATAAACAAATATTAAATCTAGATTAAATAAAAGACGTAGACAAAAAAATACATTTTAACTTGTTCGATATGCGATATGGTGTAATGTTTAATAAACTTAATTAATATTCTAACTTATGGGAAGAAACTTAGCTCAACCTTAGTCAACCATATACAGAATATTAAATCGTCGTTAAACAACAATTTGGCGCTGAGGTCAAACGTCAGGTAAGTGGTTGTGTGTCATTCTTCTTTTTCTTCTCGAGTTGAGAGTATCCCATAGCTCAGTAGTAACTAGGATATAATTGCACTCCCACTTGGAAATAGTTAATACCGCTATAATAGTTAATACGGAAAAAATAGTTAAAAACGCGTATAAAAAGAAGTTTTAAAGAAATGAATAGCTAATAGTTTCTTCTTAAAGTAACGAGAACCCAAAAATGCTTCACCAATATACCATAAACTTGGTATTGAGAATTGAGCGTTGCTCTAGTTTTAACATGTCCGCACACTTTTTGACTACATTAACTCCAACCTCATTATCACAAATAGAGTTGTAAGTCATAAAAAAGCGGGATAACTTGGTTAATTAAAGAGAAACACAGTAAGATCGATCAAAACAAAATTGCATCTGGTAATTTTGGAATTTATAGTAGTTGATTAGTTTAAAAACTGAATTGTTTCTTTTTATATCCACCAGCATGCATTTTTACACAATATTAATTGGAAGTATTTTTATGTTCTTGAATGATATTCTTTTTATGATTTTAGCATAAATAAGTATACAGAAGAAAGAAGCGAATTTCGTGGCGACTTAAAAGTCGTATTTTGGTGTATTATCCAGCCAATTACACGACAAGAAAATAAGCATCAATTGTTGGAAATTTTGCGACCCATTATAACTTGAATTGTAGCGTTTATAAAAGCCTATTTAAGAAGAAAGAAAAAACAATTGGCCAATAAGTAACTAGTGATCGCAATGATGCAACAATTTTCTTTTTTTTTGTAATTATTCATATAAAGTCTATAAAGTCTAAAAATACTAGAAAAATAATTGGCTGGCAAAAGCATGAGTAAAAGTAAAAATATTAAACAATAACGGGCTAGCAAAAGCATGAATAAAATAAACTAAACACATAAAGAGATAAACAATAAAATAAAAGCAGACGATAAAATTAGAAGACCTTTTTTAGAACAAAATAAAGTGGTTTTTTTTTTTTAGATATTAATTCTGTTTTGAAATTTGAGTTTTCATAGAACCCGTTACTGGTTTTTCTAGTTTGTTTTATAATATTTCAACCTTCCTGTTACGGATATTTCATATTTGTTACTGCTTGTGTTTGTGAATAAAAGTTTTTTTTATTATCAGAAGCAGAACTGTTATTTATATAGCTTGATACTCTACAATCATCAATATGTTTTTAATTCTTATTTTATAATTACGTTTGAAACAAGTTTTGCTTAGGGAAGAAAGAATTGGGTTTACTATAGCCTACGTCACAGGTTGTGTTATTCCTACTAAATTTAACCCATGAACGGCATTTTCTGCGAGCCTAACTTCAAGCCACAAATAAACAAACGAAGTGTTTGATCGTTTAAATAGCTGCTCGCCAGATTTTATTGCATTATAAAGAAAAGTAATTGATATTCGATTTTTGATTAATAATTGATTTATGTGGATAGTGGCATTTATGTGGATAGTGGCATAGAATTTAGCATTGCGTCATGGTAAATGTTATTCCTACTAAGTGGAAGTAGTTGTGTTTTTTTTATATTATACCCAATTGCAAATAACACCTTCAAATTTGTGTCGTAAAAAATAACTTAAGCATTTCTTTTATATCAAACATTGGATAGAATTCGATTTCTCTTTAGAACAGGAAATGCAAAATAATTTTTTGGAAACATTCCTTATTTTCATACTCAGTAGAAACAATAAAGCAAGAGTCAGAAAGGTGCAGAATGCTTCATTCATTTTTCACAGCATATTGACAGTGTAAACCTCCGCCGAAAATGAGCCTTTGACACCATTGCATGGAAAAAAAAAACTTCAGCTTTCTCGACAGAGTTAATCTATACTATGCCAGACAATGATCTTTTTTTTTCTTTTCTTTTCAGTCACGTAAAAATAAGAACTTTCTTTTTATTGGAGGAGAAATTCAGGAAAGAAAACTTATTTTGGTTCATTTTTTTTTCATTTATTTTATTTACTTTTTTTGTATTCTTTAACAAGCTGAATATCGATCAACCTGAAAAACAAAGATGAAATTGGAAACGCGCAAAGCAAGATGGAATAAAAAATTCTATTATTTTAGGAAAAGACTGACTTATTCTATCGTGCAGTAGAAAATATATTTTGATGCAAAAAAGTATGTAGTCTCAAACTAATCTGAGTTTGAAAATATGGTTTTTAGATATACTCCGTAAATTTAAGAGCTACGCGATAGAACAAATTTAAAAAAAACAACGCATTGACAATATTCGGAAGTCAAAATTCACTGGCAGATTCCCTTATTAATTATTGTGGCTAAACGAATTTCATAAAGGACTTCCTCTTTAAAGCTGCGAGTATGTGTTTCATGGAGAGAAAGACCACGAATTTATCACAGCTTCAAAAAGTCAACTACATGATCCGTGGATATTTAACTTCAGAACTGTAAGCTGAGAGTTGCATATGAATTGATCAGCCATTGTCGAGTTGGAGCCTGGCAAGTCTAAATGGGAAAGGTGCTCCCGTGAACAATTTTGACCATAGCGACAAATCAAATCTAATTGATGAAGGTGTGCAGTTATAATATAACATGGAGACTAATAATCTTTTTTTTAAATTTTTCATTTCGATTAAGAATACTTGCGGTATAAATAATGTAGTTTCCCTTTAAGGTTTTGTGAGTGATAACAGAATTTTTAGAAATTTTAAAGCATCAAAGAACCTGTGCCCTTAGATGTTAACAAACACTATTTGTTGCAAAACATATGCGACTATCCGTTTTCCTACTTTTACATTTCGATTAAGAATATTTACTGCCTAACACATTTATCTTCCTTTGGGAGTATTATGAAATGAAACGATACAATTTAGAATTTTTGAAGGAGAAAATGACCTGTGCTCTTCATTATTAATATACATCGCAAATTATAACTCAAATCAAAATTTATGCTAGTACCAGCAAGAAATGTTCTAGTTTCTTCTATGTACTGCTGTTTGCTAGATTTTCAAGCTATTATATGCTTCATAATGCTAGCAAGCATCAAATTCTATATAGCTAACTTGCATAGCAATAGCATGATTAGTTATATGTAAGTATCTTATGCTTATTTCCTGTTCAATCTCCTTCTGAAGCATGGAGAAGTAGACACCTTAACGAGCTATTGTATACTTACAAACTAAGGCAAACAACATTAAAGAGCACAAAAATATTTATAAAATACAGACAGCTGCTTCGGATGCTCATAGGGCAACCTTCCTCAGTTGCACTGGTGAAAGTTGCCCTTAGTTGTTTGCCTTAGTTTGTATTTTAGCACAAAGGTCGCCCACTTGTGTATTTATTGTATGCTTGCCAGCGTAATATGCTGTGTAAGAAACCTAGACAAAGGTTGCTATGTGCCACTAAGATGAAAGTAATTACTGCACTTAATTAGATTTTAGAACAATAAATTGGAAAAAAAAACCTTTTCTACTGTTGAGTTGCAACTTCGACTTTTTCACGTCTGTTTACGACGTCATACATTGAGTCTGATGTGTTCGGCGACTGCTGGAATGAATGTTTTAGTCGCTCCAAAGGTATTTATAATTTAGTTTTTTTTAACGAAACTAAAAAGTTTCAATAATACGTAGTTACATAAAATATTAAATAAGTATCATAGGTCGAGTTTTTTCTTCACCTATACTACACTGGTGGACAAAATTAAGAGATGGAAGACATTTTCCCAAGTATCTCAAAAAATAATGAATATAAATAAATGAAATTTGGCATGGATATAGCTTATTCCATGATAGTAAAGTATGCAAAACAAAAATGAAAGTGCCATTCACTGGCAAAACCTATTGCCAATAAATCCAATGTAGTCTGAACTTAAGGATAAACGATGACGATAAAAGTGAGGGTTGCACAGTGTGTGTTGCCTCTAGTATGGTGTATGGTCACCTCTGACAGACAAACAGCATGCACAACGAGTATGCATGCTGTAAATATGGGAGTTAAGGAGGACTTGTGGAAGACCCTCCCTATCTTCCACCAGAGCAATTTTTAACTCCAGAATGGTTCTGGGGGGAGGTTGGCGCAGCGCAATAGCTCTCCCAAGAGCATCCCAAGCATGTTCAATAGGATTCGGGTCAGGGGATTTTGCTGGCCAAATCATTCGTTGAATATCCTCGCTTTCCAGATACTCATCAACCATGAGAGCCCTATGTGGTCGCGCATTTTCGTTCATAAAGATGAACTCAGGGCCAACAGCGCCCCTGAAAAGCCGCGCATAGGGCTCTAGGACCTCCTGCCTGTACCTCTGGGCATTCACGGAACCATTGTCAAACACACGAAGCGGTGTGCGTGCATCTTGCATGTGCGAATGAATGTGCGAAAATGCTTTCCATCTCTTAATTTTGTCCTCCAGTGAAGAAAAGTAATAAAAGCTCGATGTTTCAGAGAGGATAATGTTGTAAAAATATTTAGTTTTCTCAATGATTTTGATCCGAAAATTTGGTACTAATTTAATGATCATGAATCTAATTAAGCTTGTAAATATAATGTAAAGCGTTTATTATGCTTATGGGTATTTCAGGGAAAGTTAACATTTATGTTAAACTTCCATTAAAATGTTTACCGCCCATTAATATCCTATATTAAAACGTCCGTCTCAAAGGCTAGTATTTTTTTCCTAATTTTCATTTCGAGTAAGTGCTCTTATTGCATGACTCATTTATGGCAAATTCTGCTTTACTCTAGGTTTACCAGAACTCACTACTTTCAGTACTTTAAATTGTAAATTATGGTACTGGTAAAACTGAATTTGTCATAAAACGTTGGCCCCGTGCCATAGCAGTCCTCTTAGCGTAATGGAAATATAAACAATACTTAGTTGAAAAAAAATTAAAGGATAAAAAGACCCATATCCTTAAGTTAGCATACACTGCCAGTTACATTGTTAACATTAGTACACATAGTTAGCATTAATGTTCGCAAATAGTAACATTAATGTTACTATTCATTTTCCTACGGTTATATTATTCTATTAATATTTGCAGCATGGCTAATTCATCTTCCCTTAATAATAATGTGCATTAAAACAGAACATTTTAAAATTTTTAAGAGAGCAAAGTTCCGCATTCTTAAATAATACTATACACTGCCAATTACAAGACATATGCTAATCGTCAGTGCGCAGGTAACAAAACAATATTACTTAATATTAGAACGATGCCATATAATACTGCCGTGCTAGAAAACGCTAGACTCCTAAATCCTATCTTCCATTATTAAAGCTAATATTCTATAAGATTAAATAGTATTCGATCTAACATTCGTACTTTTAAAATGATCATTTATTTCGCTTAAGAACTGCCACTTATTTGGAAAAGGGCACTTCATATTATTAATAAATGAAATTCGTTTTCGTAAATAGCTATGCCCATTTTCGCAAACACGCATTTCGAGCTGTGTTAATTTTTATAAGTACGCATTTCCAGATATGCCGAGATTTAAAAACTCACCGATCTAATATTCTTTTCCCCCCTATATTTACTTTTATATTAAGAATATTTATCTTTTGGCTCATTTATCTTCCTTAAGGAGTATATAGAATTGAAACAATATATTTCAGCTATTTTCCAGGATCAATGGACCCGTGTCCTTAAACATCAGCATGCAGATGTTAATATTTTACAGATGTTAATATTCTTTTTTTTTTCCTTTTTAACATTTCACACATTGTCTGGCTTACTTATTATCCCTTAAAGGAGCTGCTATAGCACCGGGTAAGCTTTTCATGAAAAATTTTTCCTTACTCTAAGTTAATCTGAACTCACTTATTTCAATACTTTTAATTTTAAATTACTAATGTAGGTAAAACAGAATTTCTCATAAAAAAATTTCTCCCCGATATAGTGGTCCTCTTGAGTGCATTCTGAACTAAAGCAATATTTTTTTAAACAAAATTAAAAGGATCATATGATCCACATTCTTAAATGTTAACATACACTGAAATATCAGCGGTGGTGGCTCAAGGGATAGAGCATTTGCCACCCAATGAGATGACCTGGATTCGAATCCCAGCTGTGACTCGTTTACATGAATTCTGCTCCCGGCTCATACCAACCACAATGTTAACGTAAAAATCTTCAGAAGCAGACGGATCAGTGTTTAGACTCCCCTTGCTCTCGTGCTAACAGTGGGAGGTAATAGTGGTTTTTCTCTCTATATAACGCTCATGTAGGTTAGCTCCACCAGAAAGTCATCCAAGACAGCTAATTTGTGCCAATGGTTGATCCAGAAGTCTTATGGATTCTGGGTTAGGATTAAAATTGCAAGGCTACGGAGTTGAACATTGCTCCAAACTCCGTAGTATACTTTTTGTTTTTTTTTGTTTTTTAAAAAAATTCCTGGAATTTGATACCTTAAGTAGTGTTGTGCCATCTGTAATTTTATTCTGAGTTCAAACATCTTATATTTAACCATGTGAAATTGTTTCCTTTTAATAACTTTGCACCCCTACTGAAGATGCGACATCAGTATCTCTTCTGGTTGATACTGTTTATTTTGTTATGTTAGTTTGTATTTAGTTCATTTCTAAGTAACGCTGTTTTTTGGTTTTCATATTTAATATCCTACGTATTTGTTAAAACTCTAATTTGAACATTTTGAATATGTTTGCTTATGAGATTGAACTGTTGCGCGCACTTTGAACTTTCGGAGTGTCCCCGGATGCCCCCTTACGGAGACGGGGCGGGGTTAAGCTAGCTATTATTGCTCCGAATCGGGTCGGCTGTTTAACACCGGTTATAAAATGAAAAAAATACACTATATGTTAACATTCTTTTTTTCCCCTACCTTCACATTTCGATTAAGAGTATTTACGACATGGCTCATTTATTTTCCCATAAGAGTATTTTCAACGGAGAAAAAATATAGTAGTTATCTGAAGAGGGTAAATAAATAACGTTACCTCCAACTAGAAGCCTGGCAGTTGCCTGTGAAGAGTAGGATTCCCTCTGGACGAAGCACTGGTACATCCCCGAATCCTGTCCCCTGAGATGGGTCACTTGAAGGATGGTCGGAGACGGGAATAAAATTCGAGAATCTGCCCCAATAAATCTTGTATCTTTCTTCCAGAAAATGCTGTCAAATGGTTGACCCTCGACGGAGCAGTTGAAAAGACCATCTTTACCCACATTTAGTTGCAGTTCTTTTGGGATGATACTAACCTTTAATGGCTCTATAAAAGAGAAAAAAAGAGCATCAGAAAGGGTAAAAATGTCTTGACTCCTGAAAAGCTTTTTTTTTTAAACATAGATGCCCTTAGGTAATAGAAGCAGAATAAAAGTGTCGTTCTCGGAATTATTTGTAGAAGATAAAGTGTCATAGATGTACAGAAAAACTCGTGCTTTAATAATTTTTCACAAAACAACGATTTAACAATTAAATATAAGCTCAAAAGTAATGTTTTTAAGTAAAGAGAATTAAAAAAAAACATTGTAGGTATTCAACTCTGAAGTAAAAATTAAAAAATAATTAAAATTGCTATTGTCATTGAACTCTAAAAGAAACGTAGCAGTAGGAGTTTAGTGTACAGTAAGAAAGCTAAAAATACAAAAAATTTAAAGAAAATGTGACCTAATTATTGAATTTTTACTTCTATACAATTAAATTTTATCGTTTTCAATTAGTTTTGCTTTCGCAAAAGTTAAAAATTAATTAAAATTACTATTGTCATTGAACTCTAAAAGAAGCGTAACAGTAGGAGTTTAGTGTACAGTAGGAAAACTACAAATACAAAAAATTGGAGAAAAAAAATGTGACTTTATTATTGAGTTTTTACTTCACAAAGTATAACTTTTATGCTTAAAAGGACAATATTTATGCTTAACATTTACATATTAATGACTACAGCGGTAACGATTAGGTTGTTACGTAATGGTTTTTGTGTAAATTCTGGTTTCTATGAACCATAATAGGCTGAATTCAACTTCGTCAAGCAACAGGTATTTTGTCTGTAGAAGTTTGATCTTTGTGATCAATATAGTAGAAAAGAATAAAATTTCTAGATTTGGATAAAAATACCCATGGCATTAATGAAAGTTAAATACACTTTATTGAACTTAGTGATGCAGAGCAAGGAGTCCCAAAATAGTAAGTGCGCCAAAAACATCGATAAAGTGAGCCAAAGGGTGAATTTGGCGAAGTTCCCTCTTGCTGTAAGGGTTGCACCCATTTAGGAATCAGTAGAAAGTTTGCATAGCTGAGAAAAGGTGACCTGTTTTCGTGATGACACACCTGGAGAGTGAATCCTAGATTCTTTCCCCTTTGTATTACTTAATGTATTGTAAATATGTAACCAAGAATCTTTCTATAATTAAAATTTAACTTTAAATATGAGTTTTCTAATTTTAACTAAAATTAACATAATTCCTATCAAAGTGATGCCATCAGGTGTATCAATAGCAAAGGATTTTGATGCTTTGATGGAAACTGGTGCTTTACCATGCTTGTGAAACTATAAAAATCATACTATGTCAGATATATATTTATTTCGGTATTTGACAGAATTCTTCATCATAAGTAGCCGAAATATTAAGCTTTAATTATAAGAGTAACCAAGTTATTCTAATCTTAAAGTATTGTAATTACAATTCCGAAATATAAATACGCAATTAGCTGATAATTGACAAAAGAATATCAAAATGCTTGAAAACGACATTAATTTGTGGTCTTTTTAATAGTTTGCGCAATGTAATCTATGCAATGCAGTCCATAATGTAATATAATGCAATGCAGCTTGACATATTCATCAGAAAGGCTTCTGAAATATTCCATTTGTTCAAATTTAATTTACAATGTGTGTCAAGGGAAAAATTGAATTGAATTGTTTTGATTATACGTTTTTTGTTTTAATTTTTTTCTTATTTTTTTTAGTTATCGTCAAAAGTTTCTTAACGAAGCAAGCAGAATTTGAATACGGGTCTTAACAAAATGAATTCATTGTAGTGCAAGTTTTACTTGACCAGTTCCAAAAGTTCCACTTGACAATTCTTCAATCCTTGAGCAGTATTTCGTTAATTTTGCGAATTATTTCGTCACGAAATCACGTGATTTGTGATGAAATGTGAATTCTCATATATGACGAAAATGTTTTCTCAACTCGGAACCTCATTTCAGTGCATTGTGGGAGGTTCTTAACTAAACTGACGAATCTAAAATCAAGACCGGACAAACGAAAATAAAGTGAACAATCAAGTTCTTTAATATATTACAGTAGAATCATCATTCTATTTTACTACTTCATCTTTAATTCTGTAGTTTTATAATAAGTGGTTAATTTCGGAGAATATTAGCACTTTGTTTTTCGTTCAAATTTACATAACTTCAATTATAAAATTGAGATTAGATTTTGCTTTATTTACACTATAAGAAAATCAATTGCACAGTGATAAAATGAAGTAGTTTAAAAATTATAATAATATAAACTGATTATTTTGCTTTGAAATAATTTATTTCTCAAATACACGTTTTAAAAGAGTTTTAATTTAAACGTGAAATGCATGGCTACATTGAATATGATTTAGCATTCTTGCTATGCTTGATTTTTGATAAGAATTATTCATATGTTTTAATTTTTTTAAGTGATATGAATATGTTTCTTGCAGTCTACAAGAGACAAATATGAATTATTAATTTTAAATACATTAACTATGTTATTAATTAAATATAACAATTAGATTTGTAAGTTCAGATAATAACTAAAATGCATATTTATAAAATACGAGTATAAATAAAAATATGAATTAGTAACAAACAAAAATACGAATTAATAACAAAAATAATTGAGCGCCATTATTTCTTTTGAATTGTTAGATCCAGAAAATACGTCGTCTACTTAATGAACAATGCAGTTGAAATCCTTGGCATCATTTGATGATAAATATGTTTGTGCTTAATTGAACGAATGCTTTCTTCCTATTTATTTTCCTTTAATCCTTTTTTGTCATTAGGATTCCGGGAAACAATTGTTCCTTAAGAAATTTTCTCTAACAATTTGTGGCATTCCAAGTGATACACCTCAATACAAACATTGTTTTTTTCTGTAACAAATAAAACTTCGGTTTCGAAGACGGGTTTGTAATTGGATGAAATATTTTCTACGTCTTGCCTATTTTTTTAAAAAATGAATTTCTATTATTGAGGTCTTTCTATATAAAATTGTGAAATTTTGTTTGTTGAAGCGATTGACATGTATCATCTTTGAAAGTCTTTGTTATTATTCTTTCTATTGACCATATTTGTTCAAACTTTTGTAGATTTATTTTTCGTAATTTATAGATCTTTATCTTAGAAATAAAATTGGAATTTTGAGAATCGAGTTTTGGGAGAATAGGGGATATTGAAGGAAGAGAGTTATTAAAATGAAACTATAATTGTTAGAATACTATTAATGATTTCACGTAACAGTTACTTATATAAATTTTTTGATTGCAACCTGAAACATAATGTACCGAAATGTCTTTCTTTTCAGAAAATTTTTCCTAACTTGTAAATATGAGCCAAGGGCCGGGATAGCCTGGTCGGTAGGGCACTGGGCCCATGTCCGAGAACTCGTGGGTTCAAACCCCGCCGGTCGGAGACTCCCCGGGAAGTAAAAGTGACTGATACACATTAAATCTGTCGAGTCGCAAAAGTCCTCCATGTTCCCATAACTAATCAATACCTCTGGGGGTACTGGATTGGAGATTGATCGTTCTCTGATACAGGTCAAAATTACGATCGGTGGATGAAGGAATGGATGTATGAATGGGCCCGTCCTATAAACGGGTGCGACGTATGGTGTGGCAGAAGTCGAATTCTTGGCAATAGATGGCGCCACTTAAAAACAAGAACAATCGCACCCCTCTACCTAAACGTGCATACCTCAACAACCCATATGAGCCGTGGTGGCTGAGCGTAGAGCACACTTGCCTCCAAATCGAATCCTAGCGTTGGCTGGTAGCTAGGAATTCAGCATCCGGATAGCACCATCGAAGGTTGAAGTTCTCTTGCCATCAGGCTAGCCGTTGGAGGTTTACTTGGTTTCCCTCTTCTCATTACGCAAATGCGGATAAGTTCCATCAAAAATTTCTCCACCGAAGAATATTTCTACCAATACTTGATCAAGGAGTTCCCTTGTCTTCTGAATTGGGTTCAAAATTTCACAGACTTGAGCATTGGCAGTAGTAAAATCAAAATAGGGTCAGCTGTTCAGCGACGGTTTTAAAATAAAACTTGTATGTATGACAATATGTGTATGATAAAACACGTGTAATGTTATGCGTATGATAATGCATGATATAAAGAATGATGTATATATAATGATGTATGTTAAAGTATGATAATTCACGTATGCTATAAACAAAACTCATCTTTTTTTATGTACCTTTACGATCATATTAAACAGATGTTACTGACCATAATAACCTGTAACGACCAACTGTTGAAACACAAGACTTTTAAAAGCATTAAGGAAAGGCAAACATAATACAAAAGGAAACATTAATAACAATGACACAGTTACCTAGTTATTCGACACCCTTCTGCAAGTAAGCGACATTTCAACTATTTTAACCAGCTCAACTATTTTAAACAGCCAGACATAGTTCATGTTATTAAGGCCAATCGCATTCGATGGCTGGGATACCTTTATAGATCTGAAGACCAAAACCCAGCGAAAAAAAGTGACTTTTTCTAAACCAGAAGTTACAAGGAAAAGGGGTCGTACACCGACTAGGTGGCTGGATGCAGTTGAGAAGGACCTGAAGATAATAGGAATAACTAACTGGGAGGCCATGGCACGGAATAGATCAAGATGGATCAAACTTACAGAATAGATCACACACATAATAATATAAACACAGAATAGATCAAACTTATTGGGACGGCCTTGGTCTGTCATAGGCTGTACTGCCCAAGAAGAAGAAGAATAACCAATTCTTTCAACATATTTAAATCGGCATTTGCACACATACCATATGCATACATGAAGGGCAGCAAATAAAGTGATTACTAAACATTTAGCTATAAAAGTTTGATTTGATAAAAATTGGAGTTTCAAGTTTACTATAGGAAGCATCAGTGATTAAGAGTGAGAAGGGTTAATATATTTTAAATATGTAAATTTTAGTCGAATTTTTCCTTTCGTGTTTTCTAATACTGAATGCGTTTACTTGAAAGCAGTATACCAGACCTTAGTACGGAAGATTATTTTTTCAAATATTATATATTTATACCGATATATTTCGAATATATCGGTTTCCATCGCATTTTATTATTTGTAACAATCCGCATGTCTCCATGCTTTTAGCATTATATTTTACATCATTCAAATGAGATTTTTATTACTGGAATCAATGTTTCGCTAAATTTTTTGTTCGAGTTAATTTATATTAATTTTAAGATCATTAAAATGAATTGACATGGGAAAGGAGAATTTACGCCACCTCCTTTGTTTTGTTTTCAATACAAGATATAAGGCCACGAAAGCTGCTTGTAACATTTGTGTTGTGTGTGGAGTCGTAGCTGAATGAACCTCTGGTAATTGGTATACCTAATTTAAAAATAAAGATTTTGAACTGAAGGATGCACTTGATTCTAACTGTCCAAGTGCAGTTTAATTTGATGAAACGCAGTTAAATTAAGGACCGGAATAGCCTGTTTGGCTGGACGTTGGGCTCGTGTTAGTGAGAACGCAAGTTCGAATCCCACTGGCGACTCGAATCCAATGGTGACTGGTGCATGTTAAATCTGTCTGGCTCACAAAGTCCCCCAAGTTCCCATAACATATCAATATCTCCTGGGGTACTGGATTTGAAATTGATCGTTCTCTGGCTTAGGTCTAAATAACGACCTGAGGATCATTGAATAGAGTATGATTGGGTTCTCATTGTAAAATGGGTTGTGACGTATGCGTGGCAGAAGTCGTATTCCTGATCGTAGATGGCGCCACTGAAACGCAACCTAGAATGAAAGGAGGGGCCAGAAAGCCTCTTTAGGTTTGTGGGTAGATATCCCATAATCCCAGGTAATTTTGGGTATAAAGGTTTTGGTTTTATTAAAAAATGAGAGTTTTTCTACATACCTATTATTATTATTTAAAGAGAACTGAATTACTGGAGAAACTAATGATTGCGTGTCACAGAAATCCCAGCGTTCCGTTTAATCATTTAATTTTGTTAATCAAATCGAATAAAATACCACATATATGACAATATTTTAAGATTTTGGATGTCTAATTGATCTACACTCAAAGAGCCAAACTGGCCCCTTAGGTATATCTAGGCCTACAGCAATATTTAGTTTTTCTAGTGGTTTAATCAAGAAGAACAATAAAACAAATGTACTCATGAAACATGTTTTTGAAAATTTGATCCACAAAGAAACCATATCTAAACTAGATTCTTGATTTTTCTAAGTTATGTTTAGTCTAAAATTCATGTTCTCAAGTAGATAACAGGTAGAATAGATACTGTTATTTAAATAGAGCTGTTAAAGGTTTGAAAAAGTCATACAAAACAGTAATGAATCATTAAACATACCTTCTACAAGTAATTCAATATCAACTCTGTCTTCCCCAATGGAATTCGTGACTTGGCAGGAATAAAATCCAGCGTCTGATAATTTCACATTGGAGAATTTTAAGACACCATCTTCTTGTTTGGCGCTAACTCCAATTCCAGACATAATCCTCTGTCCATGAATTGTTTTATACCATTGGTATTTAGGAACTGGGTGACCTTGAGCTATACAAAAGAGACTCACGTGATGTCCAGCATTCGCTTTCACTTTACTCAAAGAGTGGACAATCCTTGGCTGTTGATTGTATTGGGGCTCTAAAAAAAGTAGAAAAAGGTGAACATATATTAAAGGTGTTCCTTGGCGAGAATTTTCTTTGCTGCCAATTGTGTTACAAAAATTTCGTCTGAAGCAAAAACGTAGACAAAATTATAATCCACATGTGCAGGTGTCAATAAATGAAACACAGCTTATACCAGCTACCGACTTGGCGATAATCCAAGAGACAAATCAAAATCTAGTCTGATTTTACGATTCATTTTGACGACGCAAATGCTTTATACAAATTACATCTTTGTTTAAACTGACTGATTTATAGAAATAATAAACAGAAAACAAGTAATTCGTATAAAAAAGAAATTTTTTTACGCTTCTATAGAGAATAGCGTTGAGAGTATAGAAATTGGTGTTCTTTACTTTGGAGCTTTTACCGAACACAAAAAAATCCCCTTTTCCTATTATTCCAATCTCGACTTTTTTTTTAAGAAACAGCAAATTTAAATATTTGATAAATCCTTGTATGCTTGACGCGAACTTGAAACATGTTGCCAACGTTAACTGCTTGCTTCCGAATCGTTGCCAAAGTAGAAATAATGATTTCACGATTGTATATACCAACCTAATATACCCTATGCAATAAATTCTGGTATACCCACTGAATCTTGCCAAATCTATAGTTACAGATTGCAAACGGTATATTATTATATTATTATTATTGCTCTACCAAACATTACCAATGGTGCCAAATCCAATATGTAATTTATACTAGGATTAAGCCAAGCATTTCCCCTAGCTTTCTCTAAGAACATAAAATAAAAAACCTCGAAAATAAGCTGGTCGAAAATTTTTACCTAAACTGCCCTGCTCATCTTCTAAGTAATGGACGTCACACAATAATGAGGAATTTTATAACATAAAAACATACACCTTTTATTTCCAAATGTAAGCCCATCCATGAATAAGCTGAATAATACGCTTTTTATTTGGAAATCCACTCAAATTTCAAAATACGTATATAAGCAGAATAAACATATAGCCATGATACGGTTACACAATGAGTAAAAGAAATTTCAGACGTCGTATTTAGATCTTTTTAAAATTTTTGCGTCACAGCAGCAATATGGAACATAAAATAATTTAGTCTATGAAGACCCCGGTAAAGATAAAGGCAACTGACATTCCGATGTCTGATCAGGAATGTGTGCAGATTTGAAATCAGAGACTTGAAAATATCCAAGATCCGTTAAAAAAACCTCGTGGAACAGAAAAGAAAGAAATTTGTTCCCCAGCGTCCTTAACAATGTGTAAACATACTCACCCATAACTATAACTTTAGAGTAGTTAGAACTAACAATCTTTTCTCTTGTGATAATATTTTCGGTATGACATCGGAAACTGAAGGTTGCATCTCTTTCTCTGACATCACGGAAATAAAGATTTCCATCATCCAGCATTCCATATTTACCTGGATGAAAATATAATCATTTATAACTGTAACTATAAAATTTTAATACTTCTTAATTTATTTTGAATTCTGCATATTTATAAATTATAGGTAGAACCCTATAAATTGCTTAAAGATGCGTAAGAATCGTTAAACAACATAAAATATAATTTTCCGCATAATCATCGAATATCCACATATTTTTTTAGACGACTTTATTCATTTACCATACGATTCGGTGGTGGTGAAAACATATTTTCACAGTTATTTGTTATATTGGTCGCGTAAAAAGAATAAAGTTGCGTAAAAACAATAAAGCTGTAAAGTATCTCTTGATAATTAAGATTTTACATAGAATCTTATAGTGCGTCTAATAATTTGGCCATGGGCTGCAGTAACCTAATTTTAAACAAAACTGCATTTAATTGCAAACTTGTGAATTGTTATCTCAAATTGAATATTATATGGAAACTAAGAAAGACCTCAGGCAAAAGAAAAGGAATTTCGGAGAAAATTGAAAGAAAGGCGTTTTAGAAACTTTTATCATTACTACACGAAAACTTTTATCATTAATACACGAGCTATTCAATAGATAGTTTATCGTTAAATAAATACATTCACAAATTATTTTATCATTAAAACGAATTCGCACCACTTAAAAGAGGAACCTTCATAAACTATTTTATAAGGATACGGAACACTTCAATAATTGGTTTATAGGGATGAATTAAGCATAGTAGTTTAAAAAACAATGAATAATTATAAAGTGACATAGCTAACTTTATGAAGTTGTTAATTACAAAAGCAAAAAATTGCTCTAGACAACAAAAAATCGTAAAAAAATGAAATTCATTTAACAGAACAAAAATCTTACCATATTTTAAACTTGATATATAACATGTTTAATATTTTAAAACAATAAAAAAGATGCTTTATCAGCCTAGATAAGATACTTCCCTACAATAAACATTTAAGCAATTAGAAATAATTAAATTGAATTGGAGGAGGAAAAATCATAACTTTTCTAATCGAATATTTAAAAACACTAACGTTGGCAAAGAAATAAATAAATGAGATTCTCTGCTTTTAATTTTTCTGCAAATTGATTGAAATTCAGAAATGAAAAATGCCAAATCCCTGTTTAAACCGACTACACAGTTTAAACCGACCATACACTCTCCCGTAATTCATAAATGAGCTGCATTTTTTTGAAAATGGAATAATTCCATTTGAAACTGAAAAATTCGCTCATATCTCTTAATTATTATTAAAATTAATACTTTATGGTGTTTTAAAGTTTTGTCAAATTATAGTTACTATAGTTACAGCCCTAATCATTTTCATAAACCTTTATCAATATTTTTTTTCTTCGAATACAACCCTTAAATATCTCGATATAGAAAAAATGGACTTATTTCCCTTCAAAAATACGGGCACGAATTTCATAATTCTGGACTTGATAGGTAGGTTAATATTATGGAAGAAGAATACCTTTTGTGTTTTAATTTGGTTGATGCAAATAAATAACTCCTCAGGTGTCATTTGGTACATCAATTATAACTAAGGTACTTCAGGTACTTTAATTATGAGATTATTATCTTTATTACATCATGTTTTTAGTTTTTAAAACGTTTTTGAGGGTCAGTTTCTTAGATTCTAGTCATTTTTGAATTGTTCAAATTTTTAGGATACGTTTTTTAGTAAAAACTATTAGACACTTGTCTCTTTTATTTTGATGAGAAAGATATTTTTTTCAAAGTTTTGGGGGTTCAGATTGGAGAACCTCTGGATTTTTGGAAAGAAGCACATCTTTTTACATGTGGTATTACTTTATGCAAAATGAGTGGACCATGTCACTGACCATTAATTTGTATTATACTACTTTCACACTAACTGAAAGTACATAGATATTTTTAGTGTACTCTTGTCTCGAAGGTCAAAGATCATTCAAAAATACTCAACCTAAGGCTATTTTCTTAGAATTTAACAGTCAAAATTTGATGATGTCAACAGTAAACTCCAAAAGTTTGTTTTTTTTGTCGAAACAACAACATATATGGGGAATGACTTGAAAATTGATCTTAAAATAGCAGGAAGCTGATGTTTTTTTAAACTTTCTGGATCATTACTGCCTTTGCCAAAACTGGACTAGTATGAAAATTGCTGGAAAAGCTTTAAGTAAGACAATCAAAAATCAAGTCACAGATCTATGATTACTGATTCAACTTTATTTAATACGGCTCTAAAGTTTGAGCCTGATTAATTGAATGCAGGAATAGTTAGGAAAAGGCAGTGAATTGATTTAAAAAATAATGTGATACAAGCTCAATATGAATTTCTGAAGTCAAAACAATCCCCCAAGGTGAGAATTTATTGCATGACGATACCCATGTCATTTATTAAGCTGCATTGAATGAAATCTCATCCAAATCATTATATCTAATGGTAAAGAAGTTATTTCAGTTTCAAATCGAACAAATTATGACTTATGCATTTTTATGCGTATGACATTACTATCCAGGCAAGTGAGGTATTATTTCAATGCATTTTTAAGCAATTGATAAGAACAGTAATTCGCTAACAGCACACATGGCTTAAAAGTTATAAGTAGTTTGGTGCAATAAAATACATAACTGTATTTTTCATACACAAATATTTTATGACTTTTTAACTGTTCGTGAACTGCAGAGAATAAAGAACAAATCCTGATAACTTCAATGTGTAGAGCATACAGCCCTGCCTGACTCTCAAAAAAAAGAAACTGGAGCTTTAAAAAGTTTTAAAAAATAAAAATACGATGCAATAAAAAATAATAAACTTATAAACCTGGCCAGATTTGCCGGATGTTAAAAATAAATCTGACTCTTAAATTATTATTTAATTTGAAATACACATTTCAAAGAAGAAAGTTCAATAATTTGTGAAATAAAAATATTTCAGTGATATTTTGCTTTCGCTATCTGAATTAATACTTTTGTAATTATTGATATTTAACATGACAAAAAAATCAAACAAATATTGCTGTACTTACAGAGAATTACAGAGAATTGTGAAACGAAGTACTTAAACATGTCTGAAATTTCTTAAATTACTAAATATTTTGTGGATTCCTTATACGTTCTTTTCGAAATACACGGAATAAAACCACAAATGAGTGTTGTTTGATGAAAAATAATCCATGTGCTTATAAAACTATTAATTTTGTATGAACAATTTCCAGAATTTTTTAATATATTTATTGCAGTGCTTATATTCCCGTGTATGCAACTAATTTAATCTATTAGTCTTCAAAATAATCTCTTAGTAAAAAAGTGCTTCTGTCGCAAAGTTCATAATTTTTTTTCAAAATGATTTTCGAAGATTAATTAAAAACGTTTTTAAGCTTCCTTGCAACTTTTCAGTAAGATAGATGACATTTTAGAAAATATCTACGAAACCAACTAAATACTAACATGACTGCGTTTTTAACGAATTATGAAGTGTGTTGTGAGCAGTTGCATATGAGAAATTTGCATCAAAATCAAATCTATCAATAAATAGACTCCCCAATGATCATTAATTGCTAAATGAACTCACTGTTTTTGTCAGATATGGATGACGAAGAAAGTATGATGAAAAATTTAAAATGCAATGAATATCTACAAATAAAGTCTCCCAAAATGGATTGCTGATTAAAAACAAGTTTATTTTCATTTATCCTAACTTGGTGTACGGATGAAAAGTTGGCATAAACTGTAAAAGCCAATAAAAGAATATCAACCTTAATGTGTGAAACTGTATTGGAAAGAGAGAAGAGAGACAATGTGTTAAATATTATTTAAGAACAAACTTTATTCCCGAAAAAATGAATTTGGAAGTATCTGTGATTCGACTACTTCCCGTTTCCCCACAATTTACTATTGGTAGTTTTTCCAACACCTGCACAGAGAGTAAGCCTATTTTTTTCTTCTCTAGAAACATAGAGTAAGCCTCTTTTCATCTGTTTTATTTTGGATTTGAATAGCCAATCTGATTTTGAGCATACGATTATTAATGTTCAACTCCGTAGCATTGCTATTTCAAACCCAACCCAAAAGACTAAGAAACTCCTGAATCAAGCACTGGGACCTTTGTGGAGGAATTTTGTGGAGGAACTAGACCTCACTTGCGTTACATGGGGAGGAAAACCCCGAAAATTCCCAAGGTTAGTCTGATAAGTGGGGGATTTTTACTCATGATCTTTCTCCCACTGAGGAAATTTTACGTCAGCTCTGTGGTCGGTGCGAGGTGGAAGCAGAAATCTCATCAACCAGCCACTGTTGGGATTCGAACCTAGTTCACCTCCATTGGGAGGCAAATACTTTATCCCCTGAAGTCTTTTCTTGCGCTGCTGGCAAAAGAAAATTAATGAAAATATTAAAAAGTTTTGTTTATTTAAATAAAGGTCTCATTACCATCTCTGCTAACAAACGCCAATCCCGGAAACTGCTTTTGCAGGAATCACAACTTAGCAGAAAATGAAACAATGCTTGTTGAAATGAAGGAAAGGGCTACGATAGCAACTCGCAACTGTTATGATTAGTTTGGAAGTGTTTCCCGATCTCATATATTGCTGGCTAAAACAATGAATTTAAATTTACTGAGATTATTTTTTCCTTACATCGAAGCATCCGAAAAATAATGAACATAAATTATTTAGTTACTCCAAAATTTAGTCGAATTTAAAAAAGAAGTGAAATCATCTCTCGTATTTTAAGATATAAGAGTAGGCTGAAAGAAAAATAACTCTTGGGCGAACGATTTTCGTTGAACTGAATTGCGTTGTGGAAAAAAAAACTTCAACATTGACATAAAATAACCGAAAACTAATGAATCCATAAAATATATTTTAATGTCGAAATGTTCTTTTTATCGTGTCTCTATAAGCGAGAAAAATTTCATATTATCTTTTAATAGTTTTCAAGCTGTAAGAGGGAGAGACTCGCTCGGTCGAAAATTTCTAAAACAGCAGTGGCGATGATAGTACCCTTTTTTTATTATTTTACTAGAGAAAAAAAAACAAGCGACTATACTACTTCTTCCAATATTTTCTAAAGATACAATCATGCTTATATATATATATATATTTCCGAGAGATATCGTAATTCATCTTATTTACTACTTTTGATAAATTAAAACACTTTTTCAGGTAGGTTGAGGAAATACAAGTTCATTCTCAGAAATATTTCACAGTGAACATTTTGTAAACGAAAACTTAAAATAATACTTACCACTAATTACATCTGGCGTGATTAAAAATCCGTCAACTCTTTCCCACGCTGTAACTCTGATATATTCTTTGACATAGCTCGGTGGAGAGCATCGAAGAAGAGCCATGTTACCCTTAAGAACATACTCATCGACCAAATAGATTTCATATCTTTGACTGATAACTGCAAAAGTAAAGTACATGCTTAATGCTAAATTATTTTCAACATACAGAATCATAGTAAACACGTTTAGATACATTTGTGCAGCTATAATTTGCTTAATTATCTAAGCAATATTAAAGCTACTCGAGATCCTTACACAAGCTTAAATATCTGCCAAAAGTTAGAAGTAGTTCTGAATTGCTTGCGCATTGGTCACACTCGCATAACTCATGAATCTTGTAAAATGAACCTACATCTGAATGTACCAAATTGTAAGGAACTCCTTACTATGAAACATATGGTCACCCCTTACTGGAAACCCATGGCTCAACTATAAAACTTAAGGGCAACGCCATTTCGGTAGATTCAATCCATCTTTGATTTCATTAATTAGAGATAAATTTCACTTCCTCGCGTTTTGTCGTACCTCAAAAATGTTGGTTTCTATCCCTCAATCTTGTTTTCAACCAACAACCTAGTTGTAATACGTAAATCTATTTGTAGATGTGATATAGCGACAACTGGCTCTTGCGCCATTAACCCCAAACTAACTAATTTTATAATCTAAGAGCACCTCAGATTGAGTTTTGTGAAAGGTGCTGTAAACGACTAAAGTATGAATTACAAATGTTTATAAGAATTTAACAAACACATCTCCAAAATATATACCTTAATTGGAAGAAAATACTTTTTTTTATAGTGATCATGCTCTAAACGAAAATTATACTTTAAGAACTTATAATAATAATTCCATATATTTGAAATCAATTTTCTAATAAACTAACACTTACAGTTATTTATTTTGTCTAATAGAATATGAGAATTAAGAGCAACATTTCAAAGAATCCTTAGGTTCTGGGTAAGAAAAGAGTCATTTATATTTCACCACGTAATATTTAATGAGCAATGAGTGGGTGTATTGATGACTAATGCGCCTACGATCTTTAATCATTCCATTCCTTCAATTATAAGGGGATATAGGCTCGGATTTCACACTATAGTAATATTTATGGCTTGCTATTTCTAGCTATGATTGCCAAATTGCATAAGCAACTAGGTTTATGTAATATAAGAATATGCAATTCATTTAGTGAAAGTATTATCATAATATTAAGTAAATAACTGCAAGAAACTGAAGTGGTAAGATATTAGACAAACCTGCAATTCTGAACCTATCCTCACGATGTTTGGTGTATACATACGTTCGAAGATATATCGGAAATAACTGTCTTTACATAAAACTTCTCCTATCGAGTGGTTTGCCACATAGAAAAGAGCTTTCCATATTATCACATATCCATGTTTGAATTGGTTTTATATCATGTTTTAACTGTAAATTTTATTCCATTTTGTTCTTTATGTAATCTTTTACTTTTATGCCTTGCTTTTAACACGCACGATATGGGTGTTTTATTCACTTTTATGTATATATTGGTTTTACTCTTTTAATTATGATCTTTGTGATCTTCCATGTGTTGGCTGGATTTAGAGTCATATTTTTAACTGTTAGTTCCTTGTGTTGTATTCTTTTTATACTTGTTGTTGATATAATTTCTGGTGTTTTATGTATGTTTTATGTATCTACTCTCGTATGCCCTTAAATAGATTCAAATAAAGATACAAATCAGTCGAGATACAAATTAACAATATTATCACATAGGCATTATCACATTTTATAATGTAATCGAATTATTAGCTTATAGACTTATTTAATAAAAAAATGACTTTAACTGGTGCCGTTTCGCTAATTATTTATCATTAGTTTCCTATGTTGGTTAGCATACACAAAATCAGCAATCAGGGTTGCATTACAATCAAGGTTAAAAAAATACGTCAAATATGTTTAGTAATAAGGTAAAACCACTAGAAAGGGCAACAATTAATAATAATAAAAATATAACAAAACTATTATATCTTTTTTATTTGCGTCTGTATATGTCTGTATATGTCGTGCATGATTTCGTAGTTTTGATCAAAACCGATTTAGTGATGGTTTACTTTATTTAACCCATACGGGTGTTCAGCTAGCTAATCTCCAAAATAATGAAAAAAATTCTATTTTCTGAAAAATCTGATTCAATCTAAAAAAATTTATAAATATTCACTAAAAGTTATTCTTTGTATGTAATTACTTTTGGAAAAACAAATGTTGTAATTGTGTGCAATAATTTTTCAATTCACTTAAAATGTTCACGATATATGTCGAAATGCTCAAAAAGAGAAATTAACACTAAGGGGTTCAAACTTAGGATCGCTCTCGTGAATAAACTATTAGGATCATATTTCCCAGAGTGTGGGTATCTCCCATTTTTCGAAGGTCAGAAATCTAAATCCAACGATAAAAAGTGTAAACTATTAGGATCATATTTCTCAGAGTGTGGGTATCTCCCATATTTTGAGGGTCAGAAATCTGAATCCGACGAAAAAAGGTGTAAACTATTAGAATCATATTTCCCAGAGTGTGGGTATCTCCTATATTTCGAGGGTCAGAAATCTGAATCTGACGAAAAAAGGTGTAAACTATTAGGATCATATTTCCCAGAGTGTGATGGGTATCTCCCATATTTCGAGGGTCAGAAATCTGAATCCGACGAAAAAAGGTAAGGTTATTCAGAGGAAATATGTTTTTGAGACTAGGTTTGTAACTTGACTCGCGCTGATCAATTTTTATATTTGAGGTCACCCCCTCGAATCATTACGATTGAGTCCTAGAACATTCGATCACTAGTATATAGTAGATAAAAGTAGTCCGCTGTTTTTTAATTTTTTCATTTTTTGCAAATTGTATGTAAGCATTTCAAAATATATAAGAGACTTATATTTTAAGTACTCATTTTTTAAAATTATTCTTTATTTTTAAATAAACAATTTTATTCGACGAAACTTATGATTATTTATTACCCTAGGAAGCTCTGCCCCCTGTTTGCACCACTTACCAACCACTTTTGTTGCTTCTCGTTCGTCATTGTTTTTTTACCCTTAAAAGTCGATAAAAAATATAACTTTATTTTAGGAAATATTTAATTATTATAATTTCAATCAAGAAAACTTTATCAATACGTTATTCGCAACGAATTGAAAGGGTACCTAAATTTGAAGAACAGCCAACTGTATTTGAAAAAAAATTAAACTTAGGGATACAGAAAGTGTTAACAGTATTTGTAAACAATACGTTATGGCAAATTTTATATCTGATAACAGTTTGCATTAGAACAGTTTTTATCTGCTTTTAGTTTTTTATTTTTAATAAGATTTTAATGTAAGAAATAATGTGTTAATATTTGCATTTGGTAACATCCATAATTTTTCTCGTATTTTTTCAGATATTCATTTTTCTTGTTACTGTTGATATCAAGTCAAGGGCAAGGTTTAGAAATTTGAAATTGTTACATATTTTTTTACAACAATGGATAAATAATTATCATTTGAAGAAACAAATGCAATGAAGCACTTGAAATTGGTGCAAACAAATTGGAGTTACGAAAAAATAACTCGCCGAAATTAATTTAAATTAGTTCTATCATCGTTTCGAACATTAAAATGTTGTTGCATTTCAGAAGGAAATAAATCAGCTAACATGTTTTTTCTTAGCTTCCAGTTTAACAGTTAATAAATCTTGAACTAATAATCAGTTTGTATTTTTTTATTCATCGAACTCTTAGTACATTTTTCTACAAACCTCAGTAATTTCATGTTTTTAAGTCGTATAGTTTTTGTGAGACAAATTTAAATGTAGAGTAAAATAAAAATAGTAGGAAAATTTTTCCTTGAAATCACAAAGAAGCACTTGAATCACTAAAAAAACTATGAGGCACAAAAAAAGCACTGGAAATTGCTGTAATTTTCAAGGAAATTAGAATTTCTAAAAAAAAGCTCACGTATTAAGTTCCAAACAAAATATGCTTGTTTCAACATGTCTAATTTCAACTCTGTTGGTGCTTTCCTGTGACCAACAAGTTTAAGAGTTAATAATTTTCGAACGAACTATTTATCAAATATTTTTTTATCCCATCGTAATTTATATAAATTTTTCTACACAGCATTGTAATTTCAAGTTTCTGACTCTTACAAAGCATTTATGACGTTCTTGCAAAGCATTTATGATGAACATTTGAAATTCAAATACATAAATATTCATCATTTATATTTTTAGAAGATAAATCTGGAATAAGGAATGCGGTTTTCGCTCTTTTATAACTTTTATTCTAACTATTTAGAAAACAACTTAGTTTAAGACGAAATTCTAGAAACACCTATTCCATATTTTCTCATATCATTTTATTCGAATTTACCAACAGAGTATTTATATATGTAATATTTTCAGAGCGTTTTAGTTTCATTTCTTTAGAAACATCTTTATCAAAAATGCAAAGCATACTTTTGTTGCTGCGAGTTTTCTACGTGATAATAAGTTTTTTACAAGTTGCTTCTTGCCTTCTTCCTTATCTTTCAACATTTTTATAACTTTTCAAAGAAAAAAACTTCATATATTAGAGGCATTCGTCGCTGCGGTATTTTCTACTAATGCACTTTTAAATTTCCTTTAGATACAGAAAAACTTCTTTCATGTCTAAAAGTTACGAAAAGTGTAATTTTGCTATGATAAAATATTTTTCATGAACTATTAATTTAAAAAAAAAGCTATCTGTAATATAATATTAAGGGAGTGCTGTGCAAAAAGGTATTTGTTTACTGAATGTCGCAAGTTTTATGAAATGTCGCAGAGTAATTGAAAAGAACCGGATCATTGCAGATATTATTGGCATTCTGTAGTGTTTCAAGTTAAGAAAACTTCACTACTTTCTAATTTGTCAGATATTTTAAGGTTTATTACAATCAGTTTAAATTCTTTTAGGTTAATAAAAGAAGAACAAAGACCTACTTAGAAGGAATTTCCCAAGGTTTATAGCAATAAACCGTTAAAGAGCAGCAGTTTTTTATGGGTTAGAATGTTCGCCACCCAAAGAGGTCACAGAAGTTCGAATCCGAACAGTGGCTGGTTGATACGAATGCTGCTTTTT